AAAGGAAGATTATCTTCAACTAAACAATTTAACATGTAATTATCCGAAACTAGATATTGAGAATCCTGATATAACATATTATATGAATCCGGTCGAAAATCAACTGGAATGTGGAAAAGAACAAAATTGGGTTTACATTGACAACGGTAAGTTCAATTGCATCATGCCGATCTCCAAAGAATTTGATGAACTTCAGTTCATAATCACTAATGATACATTTTTCTAATTATTCTTTTAGGTACATTTCGTTTATCTCAACAAGCTCTTCTTAAACATGGACCAATTGAATGTGCTTATCGTTCAATTTTACGTGAAAACGATTTTTCAGCTGTTGAAGGTCAACGTTTATATCCAGTTGTCGATAGAATGCCACTGATTAGTGACTTTTTCCATGCAGATTGTCGCGCATCAGATGGCTCGATTTATAATAATATACATAGTGGAATACACTTCGATGCTACATTACATGAGAGACATAGTGAAAGTTCAGCAGATAAAACTCCTCTCAATTATAACGTGCTGATGTTTGGTTATGACTCAGTCTCTCGAATATCATTCATGAGATTATTGCCAAAAACGTACATGTATTTAATTCAGCAACTGGGTGCCGTTGTCATGAAAGGTATAAGAGTTGATGTAGACAAGAAGCTTTTACGTTTATATCTTAGTGCTTTGTCTAGTACCTGTGTACGGTTCGGCCTAAGAAATACAAGGGATGGAGAGCCCCATATGAAGCAAAAGAGCTTTGTCTGATACCAGTAAACCCTTTGAAAAGTTTCTCTTATCAGTGCTTTCAAGTCCTAGTGATTCGAAAACGACTTTGCGAGAGTTACTCAACTTGTTATTTATCATATGGTAATAAGCAACCTCTGGAAGTGATTCTATTGGTCCAGATACCACCTTCAGCTTCAAAATGAAGAAAATTATATACGCATGAATGCTAGACGGTGGTATCACCCTTTTTTGAACTGATGTTGACTACATAGTCGCAGCAGGATTACCGATGATACCCGTGAAGTTAATATGTATATTGTATTTTGGTTGACTGACTGGTGGCTATTCTGTGGTAGTTTAGACTCTAGACTGCCAGAGAATGGTCACCAAACATTCGAAATACCGTGCAGAACAAAGCGGATGCTTCTAAGCTTTTGAGTCGAATATGTTTTGAAGGTCGTGCTAACTTCACTAATCAATTCTAACAGGTGGTGCAAAAGTTCTGTATTAATTTTGTTTTTGATACAGCGTTGCAATGGTACATTAGAGAGATTTTATCCTTTTTTTGTTACAAAGAGTAAAGTGACTACTGGTACAAAAATATATAAAAGTATTTGATCGGGAATGTTTCCCGAAGGCCACAAAAATCTTAGAACAAGAGGCATCGGAAAACTGTTCCGCAACCTTTTCGAATTTAGAAAAAACTTCGCTCAATAAGAAAGTTTATTTTTTTATTCGTTTTACTCCGAGTTTTATAATGTTAGGATTGCTGCGAAAAAAAGAAATTTTCTCCGTGTTTTATAACGGTCGAAATGAACGTTTTATAACATCCTATTTTACCACCGATTTTTCATCACTGTCGATCGCAGTCGAAAAAAGAGATTGTAGTTCTCGAGAGAAGTCGCTGGAAACTATATACTTTGCATGAAAAAGAAAGCTTATTGCGTCCTCTACCAAACGAAATTATTTGGAATAGAACACAGCCGCTCTGTGAACTATTGGGACAAAAAGTTGTTTTCGCGTTGTAAACGCCAAATTGAGTTTTTAATCAAAGTGTTTTCTGTTCAGTCTCTTGTACTCAAGGCCAACTTTTTTAATATCATACGAAAGCCTTCATTGTAA